TTGGGGCGGTTTCAGCATCTGCTCCTATGGGACCTTCATTTTGGGAGAGCTGTTGGAGGAGCCGGGGGTCCAGCGTGGGTCTGGGGTGTCCCGTCACGGGGGAGCCCTCCCAGTCTGTCCTGCAGAGCCTCAGGACAGGTAGACCTTCATTTTGGGAGAGCTGTTGGAGGAGCCGGGGGTCCAGCGTGGGTCTGGGGTGTCCCGTCACGGGGGAGCCCTCCCAGTCTGTCCTGCAGAGCCTCTGGACAGGTCCTTGTCCCAGGGAGGCTGCAGTCAGGGTAGCAGTGGAAAGGGAAACTGAGGCACGGAGCTGGGCAGGGGCCTGCACAGAGATCCAGGGGGTCCGGCTCCCCCCTCTCCTGCCTGGCTGCGACGCTGCTCTCCATGGGGAGGTTTTCAGGGACAAAGCTGCTCCATCCCAGAGGGGCTGGGGCAGAGCCCAGGCTTTGGGGTGGCTGCAGGGCACCGCTGGATCTCCCCGTCCTCCCCCCAGCTCTCTCAGGTCCTGGTGTCCCAGTGAGGGGGAGAGGAGGGGCTGGGGAAAACAGAAACATTTAGCGGGATTTTCATGGCTTTTCCCCGCCGAGTAGCCCCAGTGTGAAGCCCAGGTCCCCCGTGGGGGTGCCCTGGGCTGGGGTAGTTTGCTGCAAACCCCTTCCCCTCCCACAGCCAGAGCATTTCATCCCTGGGATGAAGGGGCTGCCCTTGAGCATCCCCTCCAGGGACCGCTTTTGGCCGAAGCCGCCTCCTCTCCCATCACGCTGACTTCTCCTGTCTCGATCCAACCCAGAACCTGTTGCTTTTCCTTTCTGCTGCCGGAGGGGGTGGGAAAAACTCCCTCTGCCCCAGCCTGGAGCCTTTTCCATCTGCTGGGCGGGCGCGTGGCAGTGTGAGGGTGGTGGGGGTGCTTTAGGGCTGCTTTTCAAGGGGTGGGTTTAAACCGGGGAAACTGGGAGCCCGGGTCCTTCCCTGGGGCGCTGTGATCTTGTGCTGGGAGCGAGGAGCTGCGAGTCCTCTGGTGAACGTGCAGAGGGGCTGGGGAGCCCTGGCTTAGTGGGTACCACCTGAGCGGCAGTGCCGAAATCTGGGACCTCCCCCCCCGATCCTCCAGCCCACACTTCTCCTGCCCCACCTCGTGCCTCAGTTTCCCCACAGCTGGGAAGGGCGAGGATGGGTGTGCAAACCTTCACGTGTGTGTGCGCGCGACACGCTAACCCCGGAGTGCGTGTGCTCACGTGTCCCTGGGGGTTCCTACAGGGTCTGCTCCCACCCCCACCCCTCCGTGCGGGACTGTATCTCCCCAGGGACCCTCCCTGGGCTCCCTCAGACCCCCCGCTGCGGGGGGGGACATCCCCGCATCCCGGCCCTGCAACAAGGCGCCTCTTTCTCCCTGCTGGGACAGGGGGGGCCGAGCGGTTCTGGCAGCCGGAGGGACCCCCCCGTTCTCCCCACCTGCTTCCGGCCTTTTAAGCTCTGCCAG